GCAACCAATCTCCAGAACGTTTTCATCTTGCAAAACTGAGATACTCTGTGTGCATTAAACATCTCCCCATTTCCCCCTCCCCCAGCTCCTGGCAACCACCATTCTATTTCCTGTCCCTAGGAATTTGACTATTCCTGTAATTGGAATCATACAATATTTGTCTTTTTGTTTTGGTTTATTTTGCTTAGTATAATGTCCTCAAGATTTATCCACATTGCAGCATGTGTCCGAATTTCCTTCCTTTGTAAGGCTGAGGCCTTGTAGGAATGGGTGGATTTTATGCTATGTAAATTATATCTCGAAAATGTTGTTTTTTGGAAAAAAAAAAAAAAAACAGGCAAAACTCGTGATGGTGATTACTGGGGTAGGGGGCAAGTGAGTAGAAGATAGGGGTGGCGGGGGCTGTGGACTAACACCGCTGTCTTTTTTGGTTAACGGGGTGGGTTCACATCATAAAAAGTCACTGAGCTGCACACTTGTGACACGTATTCTCCATAGGTGTGTTCATCTTCCAGAAAATGTTTCCTACACGATCCCTACTGAGACTACTTCACAGTGTTATTTGAGGCTCAGATAGAGCTCCGTACACTCTACGCTGCTTGTAAACGCAGGAGCTGTCACTACGGTCTCGATGGTGGTTGTGAGTTTTGAATAACAGGTTCCTTCCAGGCCTGGTTTCCGGTCGCTGGGTATTCATTAGCCTGACCCTGAACCTCCCTCCACGTTTGGGAAACAGTTCAGATGACTTCAACTGTGGATTCCAAATAAACATTTGCTCCAGGATTACAAGTCCCTGGCCCTGCCTGTCTGCTGTCCATTCAGACCAGGCTAGGCCCCAGCAGCCCCAGCACCCCCTTCACCGTCCCCACTCTGGGCAGGGGAGGCCAAGACTCACTCTGAAGGACAAGGGTCACCACCTTCTTCGCCGTGCCCATGTTGTTCTCTGCCAGGCACTGATACTGTCCCGCGTCGTCCATCTGTAGGTGGGCACGGGACAGGGGCGTGTGGTGCTCAGGACAGCGGGGCATGGTGGGGGCAGCCGGACCAAGACCCCACCACCGGCAAGGTGCTTAGAGGATAAGCCAGCCGGGGACGCCGGATTCCCCACAAGCATCAGAAGGGCCTCTGGGGCCACTTGTCAGTAGACATTCAAAGAGAGCCCAGTCCTCTTTGACAGCCGGTGCTGGCAGTGGTGACTACTAAGAGCATGGACACGTTGCCCTGAGTGGAGCCACTTTCTGGAAAAAGCATGATCTAGATCCTCCTCTTCCCAACTGTACACAGTGACATCTTACTGCCCAATGGTACGTTATCTGGGATTCCTTGCAAAAAAGCATTCCATGGTCAAATAAGTTTGGGAAACACTGAGTTAGACAACACATGTCTCCGAACTGCAGGATTTCTCAGGGCATTTACATGCCATGTGTACTGCAAGCCTTCCAGAGGCGAGACAGGTTGCAGCATCTCTCTAACCTAGGGGGCCAAAGAAGCCTGTTCACAGGATATCCACGACCACGGAGATGTGATGGAACTTGGGAAGAACACAGCTCTGAGTCACCTCTGAGTGGCAACGCTGCCATGGGATGGAGCTGATGCAGCCAGAGTCCACCGGCCACTTCCAGAGGATGTATCTGGGAGGCTATCCCCGGGGACTGGCAGGGCCAGAGTGGCACAAAGTTAAGAGTGCAGATTTGGAAGTCAGACCATCATGGGACTGAATCCCAGCCCTACCACTTACTGTACTGAACCTATTACTAGGACATTACCACATCTCTGGCGCCTCAGTTTCCCCATCTCTAAAATGGAAATGATAACTGCTAGGATTGTTGTGAGCATTAAGTGACATGATTCAGTGTGAGCCACAGGGCCTGGCCCCCGGTTAGTAGTTGGGTAGCGGTAGCTGATATTGTTGCTGCTGTTATTGTGACTGCTGCTATTATTACTAGTCCTTTATTATTATTATTATCCAGAGAAAGTCTCCCAAATGGGTGAGACCACAGCCCCAAGATGAACTTGAGTGATCTGACTTGTGGATTTCTGCATAATCACTGACACTCGGGGCACAGAATGTCAGGTGGGAGGGGGATGCCCCGTGTCCAAGGCTTTGGAAACAACACAGAGCAGGAATCAGGAGACCCGGGGTGGGGTCCTGCCTCCTGCACCTCCTGGGTGTGGGCCTCTCTGAGCTTCAGTGTCTTCATCTGTAAAATGGGGCACTATTACCTGCCTACCCTGCCCTGCGGGGTTGTTAATATTTTGGGGGCATCACCCACAAACCACTCTACCTAATATGGGTCATCTCACTGATTTCTCACTGTAAACCTGTGAGGTAGAAATAATTACCAGCCCCATTGAATAGGTGGGATAACTGAGGCACAGATAAGTAACTGGCTGAAGGTCAGTGGTGGGAGGATGTCTGGGGAATGGCAGGGAGGTGCTTTGTAGACAGTAGAGGGCAGCGCCAACCTAAAGAACCCTCCTGAGCAGTCAGAAAAAGCCTAGGGTTGTCCTGGGCGGCCCCACCCCAGGTGCCAGGCCCCGCCTTGCCTCGGTCCTGGGGATGGTCAGCGAGCCATTGTGCAGCTGGAGGCGGAGACGGCTGCCCCGCAGTGGAAGGCCGTCTTTGAGCCAGCGGATGTCAGGCGCTGGGTCTCCATGGGCCACACAGTCTAGCCGGACACTGCCCCCCACTGGTTCCACCAGGTAGGAGAAAGCTTCCCCTTGTAGGACAGGAGCCTCTGCATGGGGTGACATCAAACAAGTGGTCGTGAAAGAGGCTCCCATCAGGCTCAACCTCCCATAAACCCATCCCCAAAGGCCTGCCCACCCGCTGCCTCCAGGGCCTACACAGGCTCCTGCTTGCCCAGCATGGCTGAGTACCGTCCGTGCATCAGGGATGGCACACAGTGTCCACGTCATGGGTCAGGTAACATAGACTGACAGTGGCTACCAGCAACCGTACTGAGAAGGATTTGAAGCTTAGTGGGAGTAGTGGTGATTGATTAGTGATGCCTGAGATGGGCACAGGTGAGAATGCAGGGTTACGTGTGCCATATACTCGCTCTTGCAGATGAATTACACCAGCTGCAGAGTACCCGCTGGGTACTTTGGAAAACAAGAACTGGGGGAAACGAGAACATTAGGGCACCTCTGTTGTACACAGCAACACTCAGAGATTCGTGTGCATCTCAAAACACCCTCAGGATGTCCTGTGCCGGTGCCCTACTTCCTGGGGTCCTGAGGTTGAATCTACCAAAAGCTGCAGCTGTGTCCTGGTGCCTCGGGCTGCTCCTTCCTTCCAGCAAGCCCCACCCATCCCGAAGCTGAGCAAACTAAGTCACAGTGTCACCAAAGGTGACTGTGCTGCTTCTGGTGGAATGAGGCCATAGGGGACAATTGGCAGGTTGGCAAGCTTCAGGCATTTATCTCCCAGGGTACCCTGGCTCTCATGCCCTCCTCTCACCCAGGCCAATTGGTCAGATTACATCTCTGCCTGCACCGGGGTTGACCAGGGAGTGTCAAGAATACTGATGCCGCATCTCTACCCCAGAGAGGCTGGTCTACTGGGTCAGGAGTCGAACGTGGGCCTCAGCATTTTATAAAGTCCCCTAGGAGACTCTATAGTGCAGCTGGAAGTGGGGTGGGGAGACCCACTAGTTCAGAGGACAGGAAGCCAGTTTCTCAGAAAACCAATAGATTGGGTTTCATGGAGTTCTCAAGAGAAAGGCCATATGGGCAAAGTCCTACCCTTCACGTGGACAAAGCTGACCACCTGCACACGGCCCACTCTGTTCTCGGCCCAGCAGACATAGGTCCCGCTGTCCTCTCTGGTGACCACTGCCCGCTGCAGCGTGCTGCCCCCATCCTGTTCAGACACGCCCTCTGTGGCGAGAAAGACATGCTCCAGGGGACTCTGAGTCCAGATGCAGGGACCTCCTGCCCGAGGTACTTCACTCAGGACTGGGTACCCAGCAGGTGCTTAATGAAGGGAGTGTCCCTCTCCCTGGGTGGCAGCGTGGCAGGCACAGGCCGTATCAGAGGATGTGGTTGAAGAACCTGCCTTTCACCGTCTTCAGGCGTTTACTGTGAGTTTGATAACAGAAACTCTGCCATGGTTCTAGACAGATGGATTCTATTAGCTGGCTTTGTTTCCCTCCGCCATGGGTTAGACAGTGCACTGACAGCAGGGATAAGGACACACATTGCCATCGATTGGGCATCTACTCGGGGTGAGGCCTGGTGCCAAGCGTGTTCGATCATTCCGTGCACAGGACCCCTTGTTAATGAAGAAGCTGGCCTCAGAGAGGCTGGTTCACTTGCCCACGGTCTCTCCCCAGGAAGTTCTGGGGCCCAGCAAGGCCTTCACCACCTGGACTTGGTTTTAGGAACATATGATGTCTATTCCAATGTAGGAAAGTACTATTTTGCATTAGAAGGGACATAGCAATTTATCAATTCAGCAGACATTTATTGAGAACCTACTAAGTATCCTGAAGGCCCTGTGTCTCCCTAAAAGTCTCCTGGGTCCCAGGTGGGAGGACAGAGCTGTCCAGGGAAAGAGGTTTGCTGAGGGTCCCGCAATGGGAGCAGCAGCTCTAGGCTAGAACACAGCCCCCAGGCCCTGTAGAGTTAAGTCTTCCTCTCAGGTGGCTTCTTGGCGGCTCTGATATATGGCTTGTCACATTCGGTCATGCATGGGTTTTCCCCTCCCCCCACGTAGGGCTAAGTTTGGAGACCCAGAACCCACAGAGCTGGCTGACAACCTCTTCCTCTCCACTAGGTTGGGTTTCCCACCTGCCCTCCCTCCTCGACCTCCCAGGGTCATGGGTCTCTGTCCCACCCGCCCCAAGCAGGCCCAGACCTGTAACTGGCCGGTTGTTGATAGTCCAGCCAATTCGGGGCGTGGGGCTGCCCCGGGCTGCACAGCGAAGCCACAGCCTGTCCCCGAGGTGCAGGCTGTGGTCCCCAGGCAGGGTGGTGAACACTGGCAGTGCCAGGATGGTGAGGTGCACACGGCGGCGGGCCCGGCCCACGGCGTTCTCAGCAGTGCAGGTGTAGGTGCCCGCATCCTGGCCCTGCTGGCAAAGGGAGGGGTCAGCCTGAGAGCTGCCCCCTGCTCCTGGTCTGGGCCAGAATGTCCCCAGGGGCCCAGTGCCCTGCAGGTTCCCCTGGAGCATCCAGCCCAGAGAGGTGAAGTGACTTGCCCAAGGTCGCACAGCTAACAAACGGGTCTGCTTCACCAGCACACCACAGGGCCTCCCTGCAGCTATCGTGTGGCTCTGCACTTTCATAATCCCTGGCCACGTGGTGGTAACAGTCATCATTTAGTGAGCACCTACTGCATGCCAGAACTTGTGCTCAGAACCTGACCTGCACCAGCTCGAATCCCCACTGCCCAGCCATCTGCAGAGTGGCCCGTTTTGTAATTACAGAGTCTGATGCGTGATGATGAGGGAAGGAGGTCGGGGTCCCACCTACACCCCTGGCTCAACATCTCCCCCAGACCATGGAGGACGGTTAACATCAATGCGTGGTTGAGAACAACAGGCTGTACTTTGGGGACACAAAGTTGCTGCCACATTCCCGCTCCCCCAGGAGCTGGCCACAGGCTGGGTTCTACAACACCAAGATCAAGGGCTCAGATCCTGTACTGGCCAGCCATCAGAAACAAACAAACAAAAATCCTGGGTTCTGCCCCTTGGCAACATTGTATCTTGGGACAACTACGCCCATCTGAGCCTCGGTTTTGTCATTGGTACCCGGGACGATGACACGTATTTCCCCAGGCTCCTGGGGTAAAGACTGCACAGTGCTCAGTGCCGAGAAGGACAAACGGTCTCTGCTCCCTGCGTGTTTCTACCACTCCCTGTGCTCCGGGGCCGGTGCCCTCACCTCCGAGTTTGTCACCAGCAGCTCCCCAGAAGGCTGGATGGTGAACTTCCCCTGGGCTCCAGACACAGGCTGGCCGTCCTTCTCCCAGGCGATGTCTGGCTCGGGACTGCCCCTGGCCGTGCAGGGCAAGAGGGCATGGGAGCCTTCGATGGCGGACAGGTCAGGGAGGCTGGTCTCAATCACAGGAGGGACTGCAGGGAGATGGAGGTCCACTAGGGGACTGGGGCTGGGCGAGGGTGGGCTGCCCTGCCCAGTGCCCTTGGCATGGCCCCTCAGCCCTCCCCACCATCAGCTGCAACCCCACCAACTACCTGGTCATAGATCATTGTCCATGGTATGAACAATCGGGGGACTCTCTGAGTTTGGTGAGGCTGTGACAGGGTGACCCTGTGGCACCTACACACATGTACACACATGCACACACACACACACACGATGACCAACAGCCTCAGCACAGAGGCCTTGGTGATCTCTGCTGGGGCACAGACTCCTGCGTCAGGTGGCCTCCAGGACCAAAAACAGAGCAGCTATCACAAGACCCGCACATTTTCCTCCTCTGGGAAAGGGTGACCAGCGATGCTCCAGGTCACACGGGAGAGGAGCATGCAGGACAAGGAGACTGGAGCCAGGAGCCCCTCTGAGTCCACAGACCAAGTCCCGCCGCAGCCCACCTTGTACCACCAGTCGCGTTTTCCCCATGGCGCTGCCCGCGCTGTTCTGGGCGATGCAAAAATAGTTTCCAGCATCCTCTGGGCTAGCGTGGCTAATCCGCAGCTGTCCGCTGGGTAGGACCCAGGTACTCGCTCCTTGATGTTGGGGGGAGAAAATCGGGGGCCAGTGGCTAGGGTAGGGGAGACCCCCGAGGAGGGTGGCTTGAGCTGTTCTGCCTGACAGGCAGCACATGACTTGCTGGGGTCACAGAGTGACCGAGTGAGAGACAGCAGGGAAGCCCGGCCAGAACCAGGGCGAGCACGCCCCCAGCCTCTGATCTCCCAACTCAGTCGCCGAGTGCTCAGACAGAATCTCAGGCCGTGGTGGTGGGAGAAACAAGGGCAGGGGGTGGGGGACCTGTCTCTGGGCAGGGCAGGGGCTTTCTGGACCTCCCAGCAGGTCTGCGGAGTCTCCTGGGAGAGGAAGGAGAATCCTG